TTAGTCCTTCGAATTTCAATATCAATATCTTTAAGTTATTTGAATATGTCTCTTTGGAGTTCTTTGTTGGTTTACTTTTTTCTTTATTCCTCTCTGAAATTGTACCTTGATCAATCACTTGAATTTCATTTGTACCCTGTTGTTCAAATGATAATAAAGAATATCGTATCGTATCGTATCGTAGATAATCTATAGTAAATCACAGCGTTTTGCTTAAAATAAATACATAAATAACAAATCATGAGAAATAGTAAGAAGTAATCTCTTACGAATACGGTACCAATTAAGATACACATGCGAGATGGTAGAATTATGGACTTAAACAATGTTCAAACGTTCAGTTGAATATTGATGCATTTAACAAGAAAATAATCTTCTTAAAATCTCTATTTGTAGATAAATATATGCCATTCACCGAAGCATTGGTTAAGGTTTTGTGTATCGATACTTATTCCATGTTTAAGGAGAGTCTAGATCAAAATTTACGGGAGCTTCGCCAATCGTATCGAGAGAGAATGAATGAGAACGTTAAACTGATGCGTGAAGAGAGGATGTTGATTTATCCGGTTTAGTTGTTAGGGAAAGGGGGCGTGGACTAAACCACTGGCTGCCTGTCACTTACTCATCAGCTAGCACAGGGTCTGAAAAATCGTAGCTCATTAACAACGCACCGTACACGTGTCCTACCGACCGATTAGCTTTTACAAAACTCGCAACCAAAATACAGTGACATGGTTACTAACTTCCGGTAATAACAAATCGCCTATAAAGCCTAACTCACTCAGTAAACTGCTTCAGAATACAACGAACTGCACGCCGCGAACCGTCGCACATACAAAGGCCTGTTCAGTTATAATACAGTAACACATATTGTCAGATATTACAACGAAAAACATCAAGTGTTAAGGCTGAAGGTTAGCCGAATATTGTATTTTTGGTAGCAAATACGCTAAAAACAATCGTGACAGAATGCATTCCAATACAGTTTACATTCTCACCGTACTACTACAGATTTTAGTACACGTTCCGTACTATTGTCAGGGGGTTCCTGTTGTGAAAGACATTATTGAGCAGACATCCACGACTCCTGATACAACTGTTACCAAAGTTTTATCAGATGTCGACAACTTGGAAATCGACTCAAATGCTTTTGTTTCAAAAGTGAAAGAATCTCAAGATTTGCTAGATAAGTATGAAGCAATTGAGGAATATCTACAAAAAATTGAAAGTGGCAAGGACGGAGAATTCATGCATGAGGATCTTGGTTGGTTACAAGACATTGTAAAGGAATTCCAACCAGCAGAAGATAAAACTAACGAACGCGTCAGACGTGCTAGCTTAGATCTTGTTGATTTAGAAGGAACTGACGTGAATGTACTCCCTTCTCCTGGAGATAAAAGAGCCGGTCGGAGGAGACAGGGTAAAATGAATGGTGGAAGAAGAAATGGTGGCAGGCGGAAACAAGTAGTACCCACTCGCACGGTTGGAAACAGAAGGAACAATTTTGAAACCCCCTTGAACCGGTCCATGATGCTCAAGTACCCTTACAACAATGTTGTGCGTGTGTTGTCCAGTCAAAGATCCGGCTGTACTGGAATTCTTCTCGACAACATGCACGTACTCACGGCAGCTCACTGCGTTCACAATCAAACACACTTTCTACCAAATTGTAATGTAATGAGAGTGCTTCTTCCGTACCTCCATGGCTTCAAAATCATGCAGATATCAACAATCCGAGTGCCATATTTATGGTTACGTCACAGTTCTCCAGTAGAGAGGAAGCGTCACAGAAGTTATGATTACGCAATTATCAAATTGGAAAAGACGACGAGAAAAAGACAGTTCATGCCGTTTGGACTCGAAAACCACAAAAGAGCATCAATAGCTGATACATTATCCTACACATGGTATCCCTTGAGTAGTGGTCGGTTTAATCAGAAACTAAAAACTTGTCGAGTTCAATTATCTGATTTTAAGAGGAACGGCGACGAACTTAATGTTGATTGTGACTCTGAGGTTGGCAGCTCTGGGTCAGCCGTTATTTTAAACACTCGACGTTATGGAACACGAATAATTGGAGTGGTTTCGAATAAAATTATCAACACTGGGATGGACGAAATAAGCGTCATCACAACTCCCAAGCTTATTAACATATGCTCTATGATAGCTGCAGATTATAGAGTATCTGACTACAACAAATTACCAGACAGTTGTCCAAAAGATAGTTACGATAGTTCGAACTATGTTTCATACCAAAACCCAAGAGCAACGTGAAGGAGCATTAGTGTTGACGTGATTGAAGAATGCTTGTTGATTTGAACCGATATAAATTCTAGCGCGTACCAAAGATCAGACGAGCAACTAAGCGACTAATGGAATATGGGGCATCGCTTTAACCAAAGTGAATGGCGTTAGGCTGTGAACAGATGACAATCCGAAGTAGAAAGGGATTCGGTGGGAATGAACGAGTCAGTGGTGCTAATGAAAATCGGGCGGTGAAAGACCATTGGCGTGCAACGTTTTAACAAGAAATGATCAGATTTTAATTAATTTGACCATATGAGATAATTTTGTGCTAAAGTCAAGTTCATTACCTGATAGAAAGGCTTTAAAAACAAACTTTATAGATGGACTCTATAATATTGTTTTGGTATAGCATATCGGTGATGTTCATAATGGTTAATTCTATTTTAGGATACATACGATAGATTAATTTGAAGAAAGTACATTAGCATCTAAATGAAAGGACGTTTGCAGAATATTTTGGAAAAAATAGATAAGTGTTTAAAATATATTAGAATCATTGCGATATCAATACCTCTAGCTCTACCATAAACATCATTTCGATGTAAGCCCTAAAAAAACTATTGCTAAATTAAAGTATTTTCATCGCAATTTTTAAGAGATACCCAAAATGCACGCTGCTGTCAAAGGTTCACTTATGTAATGTTAACGCAATTAATGACGCTAAAGTATATTGTAAAAGCGTTTTCAGACAGTATAATACGATGGTTGATATGCTGTTTTAGCAGAACAACTCATTTTACGTATTGTACTTATTTATTGTTAAACACACTGCGAACGCGTAACGTAAAAGTGTTACCCATGTTTTCCGTCCGCGTTAAGTGCAACTTTGTTTCGATGGGCGTACATTCAATTAATTTTAAATTCGAATTTTAGATGTTTGTTTAAAAAAAAACAACTTTGAGGCACGCCTACAGCACTTAGACAAAATAGGCCCATGTGTTACCTGGTTAAAATGATCAAAATAGACTAAATATCACCTTGGTTGTCTCTCCTTTATTCAAATAACATAAAAGTGCCGATGAATCATAAGTTATCTGATCTGGCATTTATTATCTGAAATACCGGTAATAACAGACCTAAACAAGTAAAATTTTAGAATATTATTTGAAAGATAAATGTTTATCGTAACAGAGAAGGAAGTACTAAAACGGCAATTCTTCCCAATAGAAATATTGATAGTGTAGCTTAAAAAACATAACTGAAATGTAAGGGGCCAGCAGACGGTACCGTCTGGCATGTTAAGTTAGGCCGAAATTTAAGCTACAAAAATCTTGATTCAGAGACTTTTGTACAAATCAAGGGCCATTGGAGTTAACACACAGGTCAAAACGACATTCGTTTCATTAACAATTGTATAATCGAACTATTCTCCTGGTTGTACGCCCATCGGAATGTCAAACAATTGTTTGATAGTTGAATGCAAAGCCGTTGAACCGAAAAAATGCCGAAAATGCGGCTTATTATTGACTAATTTTAAAGATAGTTTATTCTGATATCTTTCTGCAGTATTTTGAGTTAAAAAGTATGAAGAAAATTATCATTATATGTAAATATATATATATTTGTGAAAAAATGTGAAATAGAAATTATTTATGACTGCGAGAAAATAAATGGCGTTTCTACATAAATGTATTATTGTCCACGTGCTTCATTCTAGACCTATTAATTGTGTGTTTCTTTGAATCGGAAGTTAACATTGCATGATAACATATAGTGAATACAGTCATAGTATCAAGAAACCAGTTGAAAAAATAAAAGACGCCGGACTTGCAGTATCATGCAACGACAACATAAAAAGAACAGAATGCAATGTTTACTCTCGGGTTAATTTCCGTATAAAGTGTAAGAAAAAAAAAACAAATTTCATTTCTAAAATTTACACCCTTAAAAACGATATTCTTCCCGCGTACACAAGGAAAAGGAAACGGTGTAGAATTAGTAGTTATGCTTGACATGTGATAATAATTGACCATCTAATTCAAATACATTTTTCTTTTTTTCAAATGAAAGAAACCATACAAATAAAATTACTGTCATTCCTCGTTAAATGAGACGTGATGATTTTTTTTATGATTACTTTTTCACGGAGAACATGCTCTAGGAATTCGAAACATTTTCATACAGGACAGATATAATACCTTATATGTACGTTGCTAGTATTGCCAACTACATTTATTCATTATATATATTGTTATATATATATAATAAATAAATATATATATATATATCGGTATATATACATATATACAAATATTACGCTACACGTTGCATTTAATAAACAGTATAAAATAATTCCACTGGAATTACTGGCAGCAGCCTTCAAAAAGAATGTCATGGAAACAAACAAAAACCAGAGCAATGGTGCCGGTACATATCTTCTTAAAAATAGGGAACATAATTGTACAGGTGTCACACACAGAGCCCTCCCGCTCCGTAAATGAGGTCATTTTTAGCCTAAATTCATAGTGAATTTGGCCCTGAAATCACTTGTAAATTTTATCCCTTGGGGTTATAATTATATTTTCAAGGGGCCTATTACAGCCAAAATACAGTTATTGTGTGAAAATAATTAAGTATTGAATGAGGATGAATGAGTGCATAGACTGCGGTGCTTACAGTTTTTTTTTCAACTTAAGTGATGCGTGACCTACGAAAATGGTCCCATCCATGCGACATCGACCTTTCATATATTCATTCGATCCTTTTTAATATATTGGATTTATTTTTAGTTCATCATACTTTACCTTGATATTTTACAACCTAGGCCTATATTTTCCTTTATGTCGATAAACTAACGTCATATTTTATACATAGGATAGAGAGAAAGCGAACATGGGTTGATTAATTTATATTTGAAAATCTTAAAATGCAATATTTTTTAATTGCGTTGTACATTTAAGTAAGTTTTTAGCTTTCTTTATATCTAAACGGGAGCACGAATATTAGGAAGTTTTCGGAAGCTTGACCCTTGACCCCTTGACGATACGGTTACGTCATCAATTTCTAAGACAACCTTTCCCCTACAGTAGCACATTTGTCGCAAAGTAGACGATTCATGCCCTTTGCATGAATCAAAGATCATATTCAGACTGTACAGCATATTTTCAAGCATGTTTTAGGCACGAATTACGATAATGATAATGACGTATTCGTATTCGTAAGGATGCGAAATCTCCCTAATAATACCACTCTGGGGTATAAGTACTGGGCCTATAAGTTTAATTATTATAATCATCAATATCATTGAAAATGAAATCACCGATTGCGTGACAGTAAAGTGGATGTGTGTTTTCTATGGTTGACTGTGTTAAATATGGGAATTGTCTAAATCAATCGACGACTTTACACTATTTTGTTACAAATCAGGAAAGTCGCTGTCCAGCCTATGACAAATTATCCGGTCACAATATCTAGCCAGCAAGCCCCAGGACTTGGAAGAACTTTTCTTGCGTGACAAAAGTAGCCTCTTCTATGTCAAGTGTCGATGCACCGGCGCCTCTTGGACACGGAGCGCGGTCGTTGTGGTTTAGAACGTCTCCCCTTCCCCACCCCACTTTTCTCATAATGTTGTGTTACACAGATCTGTTATTTTTTCACAGAGATATTACATATTCGCTGAAATATTGATATGCATTGTTAAATGGTAGGCACATAGGCCCACACCCTCATTTAAGACAGGCCTATTTATATCAATCTATTTATAGACCTATCTGTTTTCAGAAATGTCCATAGGCCTATGTATCTAATTGAGGGTAGAGATCATGAGATAGCGCATTAATTTAATCCAATGAATTTGCATTAATTTCCTTTATGAATTATCATCACTGTGTAACCCTGGCCGGGATAGTGACGGTTACATAATAACTTTTTAAAATAGTAGTGGGCCTGAAAATGATTGACATATTAAACTGTTAGTATTAATAATTTCGGATTTTAGATTTTTTAGATGTACATTTTACATTTTTACACGTCTGTAAGTGGCGATCGCTGTTGTTATTTCATGCAATAGCCAACATTATTTGGTATAGAACTGAACAACGGATTTACGGAAGTAAATTTCGATGGATATTTGTATAAGTTGTTATAGGGTATTATTTAGAGAAACGGCTCCGGCCAACTAGCTAGCAACAAACTAATATCGACGTTTGCTACTCCTTTGCATTTGATTATAGATTTAATTATCATGGGTACTGACACATCACCCGACCTTTGACTTAGTTCAAGCGTCAACAAGCAACGTAATACGGCACTAATCGGAACTCTATTCGTTAAAATGATCAGTATAGGCCTAGCTCAGCCAGCCAGCCTAGCCTAGCCTAGCGCCTACTATATCAAGAGCCGCAGACATCAGTCATTATCCAACGTACGATCTCTACATAACGTTCTTTGCACAAAAAAATGAAAAAGGTATTTGATGGTGTAATAACAACTAATAATACGCTGATATCTTTGGAGGAATCGTTTTAGCGATTCGAGGTTTAGTTTAAAAACTTGGATAATATTATCTCCAAGGATTTTCGCGAATTCACTCCACCTTTGCTTTAAACCATCCACTAAAGTGACTTGGGACTTTTACTAGTCATGTCATTAGCGACTAACAAATACCGTCTCCTGATGGGCTTTTGATGAAGTTGTCAATACCCGTTATTTAAGGTCATCACTAGTTCAGCGTCTCATAAACGTGTTCTTTTCTGTGATTGCGTGTGAAATTCCTTGTTGTTTTATACAAACAACATCATTGGATTTCCACTTTTAAAAAAAGTGAACTGACTTGTGTTTCACGTGCAGGCATAAAAACGAACGGGCGACAAATTGAACGAAACTATACAGACATACTATAAAGTGAGGAAACGACTGGGCGATCGGTAGACGAAAAAATGGTGATGAAACGGACGAGAAAACTACCGGGCGACGAAATGATGGGCAACTAATCAACGGGCGATGGAACGTCCAGCCAACGAAATGGCCGGCATCGAAAAGATCGGGTGACAAAACAATCAGATAATGAAATAACCGGCAACGAAATTATTACGAGCGACGAAATACGGTAACTGGCAACGAAATGATCGGGTGACGAAAGAACCTGATAATGACAAGTCTTGCAACTAATCGACCAGGCGACAAATGACCGGCAACGAAACGATAGGCCACGAAACAACCAGGCGACGAAATAACCGCCAACGAAATGATTGGTTGAGCAACATCGGCAGGGCGATCATCAAATAACCGGTACCGAAACGATCGGGTGTCGAAACAACCGGGCGACAAACCAACTAGTTTTGAAACGACAGGGCGAACAAACGACCAGGCTAATAATACTCGGCCGTATTTTGTTTGTATCCTACGTGCAAATAATCATTACGTGTTAATGTTGTTTGCATGACTTGTGTCGTTCTTTATACTTGGTTATACATAATTATAATGGTGATACAAATATAATAACCCAAACTTGCCTAACGTCCTGGGCCAATAATAGTGATAAAAATAGTGATAACACCTCTCGGCATCCATTTCGTGGGACACCCATATTTAGGGGACATTCCTATTCTGGGGAAACTTTTCCGTTAAACGAGAGGAAGTATCTTTCCACACTACTCCCAGCTCCTATTAAGGGGGCAGGATCACTTTTTGAGTGTGTCAAGTGGTCAAATAAGTTGTCCCCTTAATAAGTACTTTATAATCACATGAATTAGGCAACACAACCAAATATCTGAAAAAAAAATACTTCTAGAAATTCGCCACTAGACCCCAACTTGTGTTGAGTTCCCCAGACGGCCCTTGACCCGCCATTGAGGCACGGCAGCTGTGCAGCACCGAGGCCCAAGGCCATTCTCTGTGGACCTGTAGACTGTTAAGTATCTCCTCGCGTAATAAATATAACCCTCCTTAATGACGCCTATCATCATTTTCATCGTTTTCTCTCATCCATGAATATTAGTCAGCAAACTAAGGGCCAATGAGTAGGCCAACTTTCTGAGTTAGTATTTAAGGGTCGTGGTTAAATGACATGTTTATCCATTTTTTTTTCAATTTTTTGATAAGATAAATATTTGTATTTTATTATTCTAAATATACAATATACATGTTTGATCATATTTTTTACAAATTATGATATAGATATAAGTATTTGTGATGGTGAAAATATGTTACGTTCTTTACATGGCTTTGTTAGTAATATTTATTTAAAATTGTACTTTTTATTTCATATTGATCTGTTGTTGTAATTTGATATTTATTATGAATTTCAAGACCATAGATAAAAAGATATTTAAGACAATAAACATGTTTTTAAAACTTTATTCTTACATTTACACGATTTCATAACTCATAACATTCGGACTCCTCTCATGTCGATGTTAACAAATGTCTCGACAACGTAATTAACGCAGATTCATCTACGTCATCATATCGGTGGTTGATGCAATATCCATTGACTTGTTACTGTTGCGTTATCGCCTTTCTCCAGGCCAATCAAACGACGTCGGAGAGATGTTTACCTTGTCACCTGAAACCAACGTGTATACAGTATACCTGAGCAGACAAAGTTATGACGTCATCCAATTTAAGGTTGTCTGTTATCAAAATTGTTTTTTTACGCAGCGTATAAAAAGGTCTAACGAGGATGGGATTCG